CCAAAGCATCTACATACCAATATGCAGTTATATCATGGTATACTGCCCACGTATACTACACATTTATACAAATACATAAGTATGAGGAGGGAAGATTTATGAATAAAGCTTTCATAAAAGTGTCTTAATTCAACACTGCTGGAATTTTTCTTTATTTCATAAAATAAGATTTCTTCTTAATCACAGGAAACATAGATGCTCATCTTTACAGTCTAATCATTATGGTACTTTCTTGGGAGAGTCCCTGGACAGGGACTTTCCAGTCCGTGCTCAGGAAACCTTTATCAAATGGTTTTTGGAGCAGGCAGTAGAATTTCTTCTCCAGCTCATTTGAGAATCTAACACTTAGTTGTTCTGGTAACAGATTGATTACATAGTTGTGAAGTGCTTTATTCTTAAATAAATTCTTGGAAATCTTATTCCATGTTTAAACTATTTTTTTCTTCATTTTTTTCCAGCTTCAGGTTAATGTCGTTTTAGGATTGGTATTCCATCAATGACTGTAGCAGTAGTCATCCATCCACTCCTTAACTAAAAAATATTAGATGTATTGTAATGCACTTTAGTCAGCTGTAAAACTGAGAAGTGTGAAGAAGAATGGAAAGAAAATGTGTAGTCAGAATGACACAGTAAATTGTAAAAAATCAATAATCATAGTGACGGGAGAGTTTGGGGGAAGGTAGAGTTTGGAAATTGTTTGTGGACACTTGTGGAGACCTGATGCTACACATAAGCCACATAGAAGAAGGTACAAAAGTGTCTTTCCAAAAGGTCAAGATTAGTGAGAGTGACTGCATTAACTGACTGGAGGTGAGTGGTTTTGGTAAAATGGATGGAATAGGTATGGACTGTAAAGTTCAAATTAGTAGCCTGCATTTACACTAGGGAGTGGCAGACTGGTGGCAGTGTCTGAGAGAATGCATCATCTAAGAACTACATCCAGAAAGTGGATTCTGCAGTGCTCTGAGTAGATTATAAAAGGATTAAAAATGCATTTATTTAGGCCAGAGAAAAGGATATGGCAGTAACTGAGATGTGAGGTAAGAGCCTAGGTAATTTGTTCAGATAGATGGCTAGAAAAAGTTTTAGCTTAGATTATGCATAAAGAGTCTGCAGATGTAGATGTATTTTGCCGTAGGAATCTAAAGCTTGGAAGTGATACAATCAACAGAGATGGAGAGCTATTAGGTGAAGACATGAAATTATATTTTTCAGAAAGATTGGGCATAAGTAGGTGATCTGACAGCCAGGCTTTCAGTGCATGTTCCCAAGTGCAAATCAACAGGTCTAATAATGGAAAGTACAGTATTTTCAAATAATAGATCTTTTCAGATAATTATTAATAGGAATAATTACAGATTTAGAGAATAAGTAAAATGGAGCCTAATGTAAATGAAATATTGGCTGAAGTGACTACAACCTGAGTGACCTATAAAGATATGATTCCTAATTTTCTTCTGGTACTGATTCTATTTTTCAGAACTTGTTCTTCTGAAGAAGTATAATGAAGTAATTTTTTTTTGTTGTTATGTTTTTTGTAGTTATGCATCTGCAAGTTTTTAGCTGACATATATGGGTGAATGCTGGCACAATTAATGTATATCGTACATTTTTATTCATTCTGTTTTGTTCCAGTTAGCACCTTCTTCAGAAGCAAACAGCTCACAATTCTGTTGTTTAGGTGTTTTGTCACTCTCTGTGCCAGTCTTTCTCCATTGGTTTGTCTGTGCTTCCTTCCCATTCCATCTTAATTGCTGATGCCAGTGGCAACATCCACTTGAAGTAAGAATACAGCTTGCATTGCCCTATTATTAGTAGCCATTGAGTTTGTATGTGCCACTCAATCTGTAAGTGCTAATAAGTCTTTCCTAGAGAGCAGTGTTTTAAAGAAATAAATGTCTAACCTATTAGAAGTAATGTAGAAATTAGCTTCCATGGGTTTATGGTCACTCTTGCAGACAGTTGCATTCAAATAGAGCATAGAACTGGATTATCTTAGTCACAAAAGCAAGTAGAATTGGAGTTTCAAAATAACTAGGATGTTCTCAAAATACAAATTACTAGAAGATAAAAGTATCTCATCACTGCAGTCTCTAATACAGAAACAGAGTTCTTCTGAGGAGAGTCTGTAATTTCTTAGTGCGGAGCAAAGCAAGCTTTGGATTTGGAGTTTGCCTCAGATTTTTTTTTGTTTTTAAGGTGGGTTAGGTTTTTAGCAAGCTGCAGATGGTTTTGTGGATTGTTAGGATGAGCAGCAACCCAGCTAGCTGAATTACTTTTCTCTTGGTGTACTAAGTGTGCATTTGAATTAGACTTGTAGAACTGATATAAGCATATCCTCTTCACTGTCTAACAAAAACATCATTATTGTCCTCAATCAGCATCTATCTCAAGACTTCTATTTTTGGTTAGGAGATTGTACCAAGATTAGAGAAAAAGAATGTCCTTGTCATGTTCAAAGCAGTAACTTTCCTTCATTTTGCCTTATTTGTGTATAAGCTTTGGATATAATAGGATAAACTAAAAGGTTTCCTTTAGAGACCTCTAAAAGTAGAGCATTTTAAAAGCAAGTAGGTGTCTCTACCCTACTTTTTCATGAAGCATTTTACCCATTCAAGCAGACTTTCAAAAACAGCTTGTTTTGATAGCAGCCTGCTCTCCTGTGGGCCTTCAGCCTTTGCTTCCTGGCAGCACCTTTGGTGCGAAAAGAGAGTGATCAATTGGGAGACTATCAGTGCCAGCATGCATAGAGTGATAAGTTAACACACCACTGGGAATTTCTAGGGCCCACCAAGATACTTCACTTCTAATGTGCTAACAAGCTCATTTTTCTACCTCTTGCCTCTTCAGTTATTTTTTTTTCTCAGAAGAGCTTAGAAGTTGAGTGCATCAGGCATAATGAAAAGCTCTGTAGGAGGGAGAAGCAATAACCCCATTTTTCCCTTTTCAGCCAAATAGAAAATTAGTTTCTGGTAATACACAAAGGCCAGTATTTTTTGTGCAAGGGGCACTGCTGTGAATCAAAGGACTCTATTAACTGCAGAAAATTCAGCAGCTGTGAATCTCCCCCAATGAAAAAAAAGTGCTTTTCAACAAGTTGTGAGATACGTAGTATTATTTAGACTTCAACCATCAGTTTCATCCTCTACCACTTATACATAACTTCTTAAAAACTGTGCTATATTACTGTCCTCTGTTCAGGCTCAATACTGTGTTTATCCCCCAACCTAAGAATCATTACAATGGGAGATTTTTATATTTTCTCTTGTCCCAGTGCTTCTATTTTAGCTTGTCCAAACTGAGGCTTCTGCTGTGGTTCAGCTGTCTCTGGATTCAGAAGGAATTCAGAGTGCAGATTTTGGAGAGAAAACTGTTTCCCAGTTTCACTATGTAACCTAGTTATGGTCTAAGGAAATATTATAGAAATAATTTTATTCACTGAAACTTGTTTCTAGATAATATAGTCTCTATATTTTTTCATGTTTAGATAGACTGTAAAATCTACAGTAAATATTGTACAGAAAAAAATTGCAAAAAATGAGTAGGAAAAGTTCTGTAATTGTAGAAATGTAGTTTTGTAAGATAATATGAAGATTATTGTTCCTAACTTTCATTGGGTGTTGGGAATTTTATTGCTTATCATAACTGAAAATAGTATCATTATTTTAAATCTTATCACTAGTAATTAAAAATGCTCATCATGTATAATACATGAGTTTCTGTGTTTGGATTGCTAAAAAATATGTGCAATGTGAGTATTATCTCCATTTCACAGGTGGTGAAATTGAGTCAGAAAAATAAGTTCCTCACTGTCCCAGATTCCCCCCAAAAGAACAGCAGACCTGAAATAAGACCCCAGAATTTTAAAGAAACCTATTTTGAATGCATTCCTCCACAGCATGCTGATTTGTTTTGGAGTATTTTTTTGGAAAACAGAACTATGCAAGTAGAAAATTGTCTCACTATCTGGAAATAAAATATGAAAAAAAAGTGGGCACAAATGTAAATGTCAGGGAAAATTTTTGATCCTTCTGTGTTTGTGTAAGATAGCTGGAGAAGGTTTCCCTCATTCAATATACTGAGTCCAGCTGGAGAACTCTGAAAGTTGTGTGAGAAAAGGTTAACTGATTTCTCAGTTCAGCAACTATACAACATGAAGTCAGCATGGTGTTTTTTCTTGATAATTGTATGTTGCTGCCTGCTGCTCTACATTTTGACAGCCATTTCCATAGTTGCTTTCATGAACAGCAGAAATATTCTCTCTTTTTCTCGCTCTCTCTGTGCCTACAGCACAATCGGGCCTGCTGGAACAAGAAGCGTGGAGAGGGTTCTTCAAAAACAACAACACTTCAAGATACCAGTCTCTTGTCAGTAATATTGGAGGGGGAGAACACAGAAAAAAAAAAAGAAATACAGTATTTTACTATCAGTGCCCTGCCAACACCCTGCTAACCAGTATTTAAGAGTCCTGTGGATTCTTTGCAGATATTCTCGCTTGTTTTAATGACGTAATTGAGAAGGTATTTTTCCCCATACTGAAATTTCACTATATTTGTCTTAAATGTGTGTGTGTTTAGGGATTATGAAAGCAGTTTATTATGGAAAAGTGCAAAGTAATTTGTTTTGTTAATGCTAAGGTATGTTTTATGCTACATCTCCTGAAAATTGAAATGTTTTTATATTTAATTGTGACCGGAATACAGGCAAATCAGTTACTTAAACGTTGTTGTTATTTGTAAACAGTTTCAGGAAGTTCTGCATCAGACATGAAAAGAATACAGTTAAACCATAAGGTTTACATTAATCATGTGTATCTTACACTTAATATTATGTCAATGCATCAGACAATATCACAGTCATATAAAGAATTAAAAATAAGTGTGTACACTGAAATACATTATAGGTATTTAACTAAAACAAAAATTCTGAATTACTAGGCAACGATATTTAGCAGTTCCAGTACGTGATATAAATTCATCCTTAATTCTTGGCTAACTCAGCTACGAGGAGAGAGCGCGATACCTGCAAACAATTGTTCAACATCATCTAGAGCCTACAACATTTGAAGATTTTGCTGCTCAGGTTTTTTGCCCAGCACCTTATCACCATTTGCCCTCAGAGACGGGTAAGAAATAACAAACAGTTCTCATAAAATCTTAAACTTGAAATGCAGTATCCTTACTTATAAAGGCTAAAAATTCAGACCTTTGCACATCATGAAGAGTTACCATTAATTGGAAAGAATATACATGTTTGAGAACGTGGGCAGAGTTGACTTTAAATCTTCATTCTGTTTTCTGGCATCATAAGCCAATACCTAGCATTAAGATTTGGCAAGATGCTTTAATATAGCAACCAGACCCTGTATTTTTATCTCCTGTATAAAGTCTGCTTGGAAACATTGGTACTGTCATGTAGGCTGGTTAAGGTAGAAACATTTTTAAGTGCACCTTCTTCATAAGAAAGTTTCAAGGCTCACTACATGTTTAGAATGTAAAGTTTTAAACTGAAAATCTGAGCCTCGCAATCTTAATTTTGTTCCCATGTTATTAATCACAAAGTTGGTTTTAAGGTAGTTTTTACTTTCCAGTAAAATACCTGTTTTATAAGAGGATGCTGCATTTTTTTGTTACTAATAAGAAAATCGGTAAAAGAAAATGAGTAACTCAAGGCCTTCCTGTTCTGACATTTCTTGAACTCCTTATGATTATTTCATTATTTTATTTCCCCTCTTTTTAGATCATTAAATATCAGTTCTGTTTATCTGAAGGTAAGACAAAGTGTCCAAAAAAACCCTTTGTTCCTCTTACTTTTACTAGAACACTAAGCTTGTAACCAAATTGTATGCAAACTTTCCTTGTTGCCCTTGTTCACACTAAAAAGAATTTCACACTGATTGAGAAATGACCACTACATCTTCTAAAAGTTTTAGTCTTTTACTAACCTCAGGTCTGCATGAAGCACTAACACTGGTTCTGGGATTAAGGTAACTAATGATAGAGACAGTTGTTGAATGAGTAACACTTTATTGTGTTGACCTTTGTTTCTCAGCATGAACAAGTAGTACTGGATGGCAGTGGTGTGTTTTGTACCCTGTACTGTCTTTCATTGATGTTGTAAGACATTCTGCAGTGATAACCTAGGAGAGATGGAGAAGAAGAATGTGTAACACTTGAAATCCCCTGTTCAGAAAAACCTTATTTAATGATAATCAAAGTGCTTCCATGGAAAAACTTGTAAATCTAAATGAAATAAATTTTGTAAGAATAGTTTGGCAAGTTGTTATCTGGAAATTTGTTTCTCACTTCCAAAATATATACAGAAATTGATTATTAATTATGATCTTTTTTATTATCAATTAAGAATTATTATGGGACTACAGAAAAAATGACTGAAAGATGTTAAAATGTTGAGGCTCCTTTAAAATACAAGCAATAACTAGAAATGAGGTGCAGTTTCAAACTATAAAAAGTGGTATAATTATGCTAACAGAAATAGTTGAGACCAAAGGCATACAAAATTAAGTAATTTAATTAAAGCAGTATAAAAATTAGTAACATGATTTAAAGTATGAAAACATTTGAATAAGAAAAATCTATAACTAGAAATATTAAAACCAAACAAACATTAAAAACAATAACAAGATATACCAGTCCTTGCCACATTTCCTGTCAAGGGAACTAGTGAATATTCAGCACCAGACACTTTTGTATGGCTAGTATATATTCTATATTCTAGTGCACTTGTTGAAGTTCTGCCCATTCATTTTAAGAAGTCTCATTCCAAGCCAAGTTTTTTCTGCCCTCTTCTTCTAATTCATTCTTTCAGGGTGAAGCAAGACTGCTTTTCTGCTAGTTTGGGGCCTCAGAGTACACTTCTCTACAGCGGCAATTCCTGTATTCTTTTAAAATTGGTACTCTCTAGCATGATCTGAAAGGAGATTATGATTTTTAGAAACTAGGTTTTAACTTTTCTATCAAAGTTAATAATCTTCTGTAGCAATCTCATTAATAGGAGTTTGTGATGTGTTTCACATCTGCACACAAGCATGTGTGTGTCTGCATACCATGAAACATGTCCTGTCCTGGGAGCCACATTCTTCTGGACCTTGCCCTGTGCAGTGGAAGTGACCAAGACATCAGTGTCAGGAGCAGCCAGAGCTTCCTAGGACAGATGTGCAGCACAGTGTGACCCAGCCTGGCCCCACCTCTGCCCGACTGAGCTTGCATTTCAGCCAAGAGAAGCTGGGGATGCTCTGGCAGTCCTGCTTGCAGCCTGATCCCTGTTCCATCCCTGCTCCTGGAACTCTGATACTCAGCTCCAGCACAGAGTGCCTGGAGCAGCACTGATCCATCTGCCCCCAAGCTGACTCTAGAGGGCACAACCCTAAAGCCTGAGGCAGGTGTAAAATAACACTGCCAGAAAGGTCACCCTAGGGCTTGGGGTCAGCCTGGAAACCACTGGTTTCCAGTTCTAGCAGAGGCAGACCTGTGAGCTACGTTGCTGCAGATGACCCAAATTTCTGAGGGACTGTGATCCCAAAGAAGAGTTCACCAGCAGTGCTATTGAAAAAATAGATACCCCTAAATTTCCAGGGGCCCTGCAACAGGTGGATTTCTTAAAAGATGTGCAGAGCACTGAACTGTGCCAGGATTACACACAAGAGTGGTGCTGTAGTCCTGCCTGGGAATCCACATGCATTTATCACCCTCAAGGTGACTCAGACAAAACCTTGCAGGCTCCCAGCCAGATGTCCATGTCATCTGAAAATTTCTAGCCAGCTTCTAAGAATACATCAAATTTTTTAAATACAAAATATTTCATTTATATATGGAGCTTCTTTTAATAAAAAGTTATTGACCAGAAGAGGCTAAGAAAAAAAACCCCACATTTTAGATATTATAGATATAATTGTTTTATTGGATCATGATCTCAGTGATTACAACTTCTGAATATGTTTAATTTTATAAAGTACTCTCCTTTTTTTGAAAATACATTTTTTCATCTAAGAAAGGTCTTAGAAACTATGAGTCTGCTACAGCCCATCACCAGGTGTTACCATTTTGTTGTTGTTGGGATCACATTGGCCATTTTTTTCCATTTGAGCTATGAGAATCAGAGCAAATAGAGAACATGCCATTCGGTAACAAACTGCGTTTTCTCAGATGGACTTATTTTATCAAAGGTTCAGACATCAGCAAAAGCCGTTTCCTTTTTCATTGTGACTGCTCTTCAGTACAATGTGATTGTGGCAGCTGCTGGTTTATCTAGAAGCTTAGTTTGCCCTGTCAAATTATCTGACAAGTCCACCTTCCCATGTGTAGGAACCTGACTATAGTAGTGAATGTGTACATTTAAAGAAATTGAGATTTACCTGTACTTAATCACAGAACGCAATTCAGTTGCCTCTGTTTTTTACCTTGTGCTGTTTCTGTTACATTGAGTAACTGGAAATACTCTGCTAAATAGGGTAACACGTCCTATGCAGATATTGAGTGAACCAGATCTCTGTGACAACAGACTAGGTTGAGGGAACTGTCAATGATAAGCTCAATTATATTGAAGGGCATATTGACCTCATGATGCTAAGATTCTGATCTTTTAAATGTACACATGTCTTAGGTTCCTTTTTTCTGTCTTCTTTTGTTCCCTTTCTTCCTACTAAGACTAGTACGTTATTACAGTACATTTCTGAAGAGGCCCCTCTACATTCATCATAGTATATTCCTTGTGACAAAAGCATCAGGCTTTTTGGTCTCAGCAATCATTCCTGCCTTTTCAAGCCTGCATTCAGAACAGTTCTCCTGCCCCACTCCCAGAGTAAGACTAATTGGGGTTGCCACCGTGCAGTCAGGGAAGCAGGGGAATGTAGAGGTAATGGTGATTTCAGCCTTGCGCAATTAAAAATCTAGTGCAACAGCTTGTATTTTCTTCTGCTCCTTCCTTGCTGTGAAACGTTGAAACTAATAATCTTCTTGGCCCTGTACCACCCCTTCACAGATGAGAATGATGGTGATCTTGTCACCGTAGAAGGATCTGAGCCACACTTTGTGGTGGTTTGTGATTGGAAGTGAAGCTGAAATACAGAAGTAAGGGCTCTGTGTCTAGAAGGGTTGGAAGAACTTCTCATTATCCTTTCTCCAGTACAAACTTAGGATTCTTTTTCTTCATTCCAAATCAAAGCAAAACCTCAAAACTTAGTGACTTTTTCCAAAGAATTAATGTTGGAATGGCTGAAGCTGAAACCTTATACACTTCTGAACTATTGTGTTGTCATCTTATTGCAAAAGTTCCATACCTTCTTGGTCATTGCTCACGGGCAGCTCCTCATAGCACTGACTCCTTCTTCTTCACAGCACAGCCAACAAACTCCAACTCTTCCCTCACCCAGCTAACCCACTCTTCTGTAGCACTTGTATTATTGGACACAGCTGTGGCCTGTTAAGGGCAGGCCTGTTCCTAATCTTTGGTGATTGGTACAGCTGCAACTCCTCAGGTGTGAGACTACCTTCTGCACTATCTTTATTTTCTTACATTCTGTCCCTCCACACTATTGTCCTAAAGTCAACCACTTGGGTGAAGGTACACTCAGCACTTTGAGATAGTAAATTCAGGGTGGACTGCTAGAAACCCAAACAGATCAACTTTCTACATTTAATGAAATGGGTCTACTGAAAAAAATAGCATGATTGTTCAATTAAAAAGCATCCCATGCATACACACAAGGGAACAAAAAATTTTAATCCTGACATTTTCTAGTTTTTTAATTTTTTTACTTTATTTTCTTGTGACATTTGCCTTGTGTAATTACTTCCATTTTTGTTTTAAAGTATAGGGCAAACCAGAATTTCTAAAACACTGATTACCAGCCCCAGGGTACATAAGCAAACTGCAACCTCTAAAATGACCACCTCCTGCAGACTGATATAGGACATTAGTTTGTAGGAATGGTAAGCTCTCTTAGCTCTGCCTTAGTCTCCACTAGTGGAAAGACTGGGAATTTAGCTAGAGGGTTTCTCTGGTTTTTGGCAGAGAAAAATAGACTTACCTTACACACATAGTTCCAGCTAGGTTTTGAAGAGCATTCTTCACTGGACATGGTCTTGGCTGATGTTTTGCCGGAAACTTAATCTTATTTTGTTGTCTTCTTTCTCATGCCTCTTAGTTCTTTCTCTTCTACCCAGTTCTGGTCTCCCAGGTCTTTAGACCATCTCACCTTTTTGCCTTGCTTTGCAGCTGCTTTTGCAGTCTTTCTACATCTGCTTCTCTCTTCCTTTCCTCATTTCACAAAATCAGTGAAAGACATAACTGACTTGATTCTAGCAAGGCTGCTAAGCATGATGGACAGCTTGGCCAGATTTGGACTGAAATATATAAGAGTGGCAAAGGGCACAAGCTGTACAAAAATGATTGCACTCTTCCTTGAAGGTCAGGTGGGACACGCTGAAGTATCTCAGAAGACCATCAAAATTTACCAACATGCACAAATTATTTTCCCCTATGGTCACTCACAGACAGAGCACTTGGGGCAGTGCTGATCCAGACAATGAGGTGTGATAAAGCCAGAAGAACTGAGAGTAGTCTTACCATGCAGCACTTTCAGGCCTCTCCTTTGAAAGTCAAAACTGATGTGCAAGACTAGTCATGGCAGCACATATCTTCTGTTACCTCCAGATTCCTCCATCTCACCTCACTTCTAATTTAGTCTGTGTGTAGTTAGAATTCCATTTTAGATTTGAATAGTTGATTTCTGAATCAAATAACCAAGATACTATCAGTAGAAGATACTAAATTTTTCAAATGGACTTTGAAAATCTCACATTTCAACTTTGTTGACCCACCTCCTTGTTCAGAGGCAATTGAAATGGCTTTGTATTATGGCCCCAAAATATCATAGCTGATCAAGCTATGGTATTTGTCACTTGTCAAATCTAAGAGGAGAAAAATATGGATCACTTCCCGATGTTTTCTGCCTCTTAAAAGTCCAAAGACATTTGCTTTGTTTATTTTTAGCTCTTTCTGACTCCACAGCATTTGTCCATAAAGCCTTCATATATAACCCTATTTTTATATTTTGGATAACTAAATATATTGTTGTAGTTTAAGAATGGTATTTTCCAATTCAGTATTCCCACTGAGACCGTTCCAAACCATATGCTGGTTGATCATTCCCCCTTCCCTCAGGTGCTAGAGAGGAGAACTGGTGACATTAAAGGCGCAGGTTGAGATAACAATTTACTGGAAACAGCAGTAAGATAAGAAAATGAACAGCAGCAACAACAATATCAATACTAATGACAGAAGGTACAAGAAAGAGGCAAACAATTCTCATGGACACAGACACACCCCATTCCTGACAATATCCAACTGCTCCTTCTGCCATGCTACACGGATCTGGAAGCGAGCCCTCCCTCCATCCCTGGCAAATGACACAAAGTTGCATAGAATAACCTTTGTGTCCTGGCCATGCTGCCTTCTGGCTGCTGCAGAAATCAACCCTGTCCTGGCCAGAGCCAGGACATATTCCACCCTTTGTTCTATACCATCTCCAATATGCCCAGATCCTGCACCTTTTGACTATTACGTGTATCTTCATGTCTACATCAGCATGAGTGCCATTTCCATGGGTAATGACCATCCCTCCAAGGTGTCTGTTGACTTCCTTTAGTTGATGACTGTGGGTTCAGTCCATCCTAGATATCTTCCAGGGCAGGAGGATTGGTCGTTGTCAGGTGGTTGCAAGCTGCACCAGGAGCTCACAATTGGAGCAGTTCATATTCACTGTCCATAGTAGTTCTGGCATACAGTGGCAGTGCCATTCAGCAACCACTTCTATACAATTCAACATTTCAGGCTGTTCTAACCCAAAAGTCAAATTCCCTGGAGCTACACATTGTGTTTCCCTGTCCCAAATGCACACATGTCCTTGAGCAAAAACAATCCCATGGATGGGTTTGTCTTTGCTTGAGGCAGGATTAATCCAAACTGTCTTCCCTAACACATTTCTCATATGCTCCACGGGGACTTTATATCCATCTGTAGTACATTGAGGTTTTGATTGGGCAGGGCAAGCAAGGTAGATCCTCTAGTGTTAACTAACCAGGGGGCCTGTGCTAAATGCAGATCCCAGTGTTGAAGGTCTCACCACCCATTGCTTTCAATGTGGTTTTTAGCAGTCCACTGTACCATTCCTGGTTGCCAGAGACTGGTGCAGGATAGGGAATATGATGCCCCAGGTGTCTATGAGGATATTTGTGAAATGAGTCCCATTGTCCAGCTCTGTTCTTTTGGGGATGCTATGTCACCACATGAGCTGTTTCCAGGATGGTGTTCTGGGCAGTGATGTGAGGCACTGGGTGTGTCCCAGCCATCCACTGTTGTCTCCACCACTGTCAGCACATAGCACTTGTCTAGGCAGATTTGTGGGATTGCAATGTAATCAAACTGCCAGGCCTGCTCACATTTTTAATTTCAACCCTCATCCCCCACACCAGAGAGTCTTTACCCATTTAGCCTGACTGATTGCAGTGCATGTTTTATAGTTATGGATAATCTGGGGTATAGTGTCCACTCCTCAATCACAAGCCCATCTGGATGTTGCATCTCTTCCCTGATGACCTGAGGTGTTAGGGGCCCACCAAGTCAGAAGTCATTCACCCTTATGTTCCAGTCCAGATCCACCTGAGGCACTTAAATCTTGGCAGCCCGATCCACCTGTCCATTCTTGAACGTTCTTCAGTAGCACAACTCCAACCCCCCTATGTAATCAGCTACCAGAAAATGAAGAAGGATACGCTCTCCTCACTGATGGTTCCCAGCATTTTGTAGGGATGCATCAAAAATGGAAGGATGACGTGTGGAGTCCTACATGGCGAGTCACAGAAGCTGTTGAGGGACAAGGTAGATCAAGTCAGGGTGCAGAGCTGAAGGCCATCCAGCTGGCCTCAGGTGAATGAGAGGAATGGCCTCTACACTGACTCGTGCATGGTGGCAAATGCTCCGTGGCTACAACAGTGTAAAAAGGGTGATTGGCAGTGCAGAGGGAAACCATCTGGGCCACTGAAGTGTGGAAAGACATCACTTCCTGGATAGAGAAGTTGGCTGTAAAAGTACATCATGTAGATGCACACACATCTTCTGTATTGCTCCTCTCTGGAGCTGCCACAGCATTCTCCTTGCAAATATGCTGTCACTTTATCAGGCTTGTGTAGGTGAACTGCTAAATCATTAGAGAAGAGAATTTCCCCAAAATGGCCCATTCTCTCCCACATTCTGTGCTACACATGACCATCCACCCTCAGGGCAGATCTCGGAATGACCTCCCAAGAAATCTCTGTCCTGACTCTAAATATGATGTAGACTGCACTGAGGAGAAGTGGCAGACTTAGCAACAAAAATATGCTTTCCTTAACATCCAGCAGGAATTCAGAATTCTCAGAAGCTGTTTTAAGAGGTCTGAAGGAGGAAAAGGGGGTGAAAAGCTGGGAAAATCATCTTCCCCGTTTCCCCCCACAGACTGGATGTGATTATTAATGGGCCCCCAGAGCTAGTGCCTGAGTAAGGATAGAAGGGAAACACTGAATACACATCCCAAATTACCTTCATTGCCCTTTATTTTACCAAGTCATAAACTGATACTCCATAGTACAGCAACAAAGCAATCCTAATCCCTCTCCCTGCTCTGAAAAAGAGCACCATAATGAGCACATAGTGGATATACAAAAACATGTACAGGGTTAGGTACCACACCCACACGAGCAGACCAAGCAACACTGTGACCAGTAGGTCTGGACCTAATGCAACAAATCAGATCAGATTAGAACAAATTTGTTTTCAACTCACTCTGGGCAGAACTATTGTTGTCTCAACCCTTGGTGCCTCACATTGGGCACCAAAGAAGGCTGTTGTGTTTTAGAAATGGTATTCTCCAATTCCATGTTCCCACTGAACCCATGTGCTGCTCCAAACCATGTGCTGCTCTATCACTCCCCTTCTCCTGTGCAGGCTGGAGAGGAGAATTGCAGGCATAAAAAGTAAAGCTGAAGAGATAAGAACAATTTTTACTGGAAGCATCAATGAGATAAGAAAACATACAGTAACAACAACAGTACTGGAGGGTATAAGAAAGAGGCCAACAGTTTGATGTAGGAGGTGAACCGCCCCACAGTAATACCCAACCACTCCCTCCACCACACTACACTGACCCAGAAGTGAGCCTTTCCCCAGAAAATGGCACAGGATGCTATAGAATAACCTCCAGGTCCTAGCCATACCCCCTCCTGGCTACTGCAAAAATTACCACTTCCTGACCAGGACCAGGACAATTGTGGAGAAAGATAAAAATAATAGCATTTTATACTGAAAATTTTAAAACTCCGAAGGGGAAGCAAAATCTGCAAAATTTTTATATAATATATTTAATATCCACATGTGTGTGTGAACGTATGTATGTATATATATGCTTATCTAAAATCCAAAGAAATTTAGTTACTAATTAATCTGTTAATTTCTGTCAGACTTTAAATCTATTTTAATTGCTGTTGTTCTTCACTCTTCTGGTGTGGTATGTTCAGATGTGAAAATCACTTTACATGACTTCTGTTCTTCAATAGCTCTAAGCTTCTTTTTAAAAAATGTTGTTATATGTGAATTTATGCTTGTGTCCACAGGAATTAGAAACAAAATTTTAAGCTACAACTGGAATAATACTTTAATTGAAATAATGGGGCAGACTGAGGTTTTCTTTTTCCAAAAGCCCATGATAAAATTTCACACTAGGGTTTAACCCTTCAATGTAGACTAGCTAGCTTAAAACTAGCTGCTTTTGCTTCAGTATTTCAGGAGTATCATGTTAAGACTGGCTATAATTTTAATGTATTCAGAACTGTGAAACAGCTGGAGAACAGAAGCCATATATCGAGTTGCCATTTGTTTTTCCTTATCAGTTGTGTGTATGTGTGTGAGTATTTACCTGTTTTCACCAATGTTAAGCAAGCATTTCAGACAGTGTTTAGGATGTGTCTCAGTTGCTATTAATAAGGTTGTTGGATCTGGATAATGTTATAGAATTCTTTTCTTTCTCTCTCCCTTCCTTTTTTTTCTTGTAATGCTTAGTTGGTAAGTATGATGCCGTATTTCAGAGCTGTTGCTTCATTGCACATAACTAACTCATCACTCTCTTTAACCTGTAGCATGAGCAGCAATTGCATAATGAAATTCGAAATTCCGTTTTCTGTGCTCATCTGTTAATACCCTTCAATCTCTGCGGTTCGTGTCTCATGTCTCACACCTGTTATCTTTTATCTTTTCTCCTCCCCCTTCCTCACTTCTTTCCACTCCTCCTTCCTCATCACTTCTTCATTCTCAACAAAGAAAGAAATGCTGTGATATTTCTTCTCCTTCCAAAACCTCCACTAGAAAGCATTGGCCACATCAAGGTAAAGGGCAAAGGCTTGAAACGGAAGGTCTTTCACGCTAGCTGTGAATGGTATGCTGTGCAAAACAACAACGGTTATTTTCTGTTCTCTAATTTCCACCATTTGAAATGCTTTAATTTCTTGTAAAATCAGAACAAGATAGAATTTCAGAAAATGCGAATGCATGTTTCCCTGCTTGCCTTTTCTATAAGGCACAGTGAGTCAGGCATTATCATGCTTTTCCAGATTGTTTGGCAGTGAAGTACCTAGTTCATGAACAAAATTACTGTCACCAGCTGCGGAACAAATAACAGCCCTCTCTCTCCCCTGTCACTCTGATGGGTCGTGTCAGTTTGAAGATAGAAAGTACCGTGCTCTTGCTCTGGAGCAGGCAGGTGAGGTACCAGGCAAGAACAGCCAGATTGCTAAATACCACAGGTTTATGACAATCTTTTAAATTTGCTCCTAGATGTCTTACCTTATGACCTCACTCGATTTTAGTGGAATCTTTCAAGATAAATCATGACCAGTTTGGAATGATTTTTCCACCCTTTATTTGTGAAATGTATACTGCGGCAGAGAGATCTTCAGTTCTGATTATTGCATTATTATTTTAAAGAATTACCAGTAATAGCATGATGTGGAAGAAATAGCAAGTGATTTCTGGCTTACTGCAGTCCACAGGGGTTTCCCCATTCACACCTGCAGGACCAGGCTTCTGTCTCTAAATTATATGGGTTAGAAGCCTTCAGAGGCAGCTGTGGTAGTTGAGTTCAATCACACTGCCAGTGGCTGTAAATGACTAATAAAAATGCAGTTTAGTTTTATAGATGGGAGTTAATAGTATTAATTTTCTATAGCATGGGAAGGAGAATGTAATTTTGATTTCATATTTTCTCCTTTTCCTTTTGTATGTCTATGGAAGAAGATTCGGAGACAGGCTGTTTGTAGGAAAGAGCTCTGTCCCCTTGCAGTGAGGTCTCTGGGGCCACTGGAGCATAGCTCTGGGCACTGGGCTAATGAATTACATATCATTGTCTCAAATTCATCTTGTTCCTTTTACAAAGAAACGTTAACATATAGTGCATCCAGTTAGTACAATCTGTTCAAGCTTCTGCCTTGTGGGCCCTGTAGGAATTTGCCTTTTGAAGCACAAACTAAAGTTGGTATGGGAGAAGATGTTTTGCTCTCTCAGTTGGCCCCCAATTCACTCCACCTCTTCAGCAGCATTCCTAGAGCTCCCTTCATGTGCAATGAGCTGTTAACCTTCATGTTCTCATTAAAGACTGGATTCTTCTGGGTTGTGGTTTGACTAATGATTCCCCATCCCTGCAAGGGAACTGGAGCTGTTTGTTTTCCTGGTTAGCGGGAGAACATTGCCCACTTCAGTGCTGCCTCAATTGCTTAAAGCAAGGGGGTTCTGCAGTCCCATAGCTCAGTGGTTTCTGCAATCATCTTTTCTATAGGGGTGGATTTGTGGCAGTTGTTAATTCCACGAGCAATACCAGCACCCACAGCTGATAAAGGGCTAGGAGATGCTGTGGCAGTGACAGCAGCACTGAAATTCCTGTCAGCCCCTTGCTAAGAGATCCCGTGCTGCGAGTGTGGCAGGCGGCACTGACGCCTCCGGTTCTTGCTGTCCTCTGCAGGCTTCTGCCCAGAGACTCAGCCGGGAGAAACTCCAGCAGCAGCAACAGCACAGGTGGATGGAACAGACTTAGCCTCTCCAATGTCTCCTCGGACTAGCAAGAGCCGCATGTCCATGAAGCTGCGCCGCTCCTCCGGCTCAGCCAACAAGTCCTAAGGGGCGAGAGGAGATGCCTGCAGCTTTCCAGTGAGGAGCACTGGCCACCCTTCCCGCAGCCACTCACCGCCTTCGGGGCTTTACTGCTCACGCCGTGCATTCAAGGATAATGTCTCAAATGTGTGTGCACCCGTGCCCTGCATACTCCTTTTCTGTATGTTTATTTTAAACAGTGACACTGGAATTTTACTTTAATAATTTAGCTTTTTTTTTTTTTTATCAAACTCCAGTCAGCCTTTTTTTTCCTTTGCAGTGCAGTTTGTACCCTGCACCTTTTACCTACTTGGATGATTATGGATGATTAACTTTGGGTTTTAACTCTGGTTGATCTTGAGTCAACATGGAATTAGAGACTGCAGTTGGATTACACTATATTTATTATGCCCCATTGCAATTTTCTCTGTAACAAAGAAAGAAATATGTACAATTTGAAAATGAATGTACAATTTTAAATTGAAGTTGCATTTGTAAAGTGTTTGTCAGATGTCACAATGTTAATGCACAAGATGTGTACAGATTATTTATGTTGAGGATAAAATAGTTCAATGGCGTTTCAAGTATCACAGAATCCAAATGAAATAATTTGCTCATAGCACCCTTTCATCACAGAGCGATGTATCATTTCTTAATTCTGCAGATAATCTATGCCAGAAAAAAAAATCACTGTTCTGAAATTCTATTTATGCTCGGCTTCCAAATATTTTTATAATGTTTGCTTTTCCAAGTGGTGTCAATAGTAAATGCCATTGAGTTTCATGAGTTTTAGCCATTATTATTATGCTGTTTCATCTAGATGTATATTCTTTTTTCTTACATTAAAAAAAAAAAAATAAAAACAAACACTTTCCTGATAGAAATTCATTGCTGTGATGATGGGTCCTAGGGAAGAAAAGGGAACATGCTCCGGGAGCCTGGCCTGAAATGCTAATAATTTCAACCTTGTGAGCGCAGATTAGTACATGTACATGAGTTCCACCCACCCAGAGGTATTTTCCTACAGAAAATTAAATGCTCACATTTTGAGTCTAGTAAACAACAAAATGCTGTTAACAAAATGTAGCATGGCATCGGTACTAACTGCATGTGTAAATATATGGGCAACAATAAAAAAAGAAATTATGTATTGTCATTCATGTAGTATCTACAAATTTGTAATGGTTGAAGAGAAGACATGTTATTTAATAATCCAATAAAATTATTCTTACCACCTTTTGTATATTAGTTATTCACTTCCCTGATTACATTCTTAGTCCAATTTATAGAAGAATTGTGTATTACATGCACATGAAGCAGTTAAATGCAATACACAACTTAGTTTTCCTTTGTATTAAAAAAGCACACACAAGTTCTCAAGAATGCCCAGCTGAAAACTTTTCCCCAGATCTAGAAAATAGATTGCATGGAGCTCTGCAGGTAATACAAAACATAGGCTGTTCCCTCTGGCAGACTGGTTGTTCAGGTGTCAATTGTAGGAGCAGTTAATAATCATCACATTTGGGTCTGCAGCCCTTCATCTTTGACTACACAAGGAGAGAAAGAGGAACCATGATTTAAAAAAACAAAAACCTAGTGACTTTCTCCAGGGACAAACTCATTTAATTCCATAAACAGGCATTTTTACCTAAGTCTCTGCTGTCAACAAACGACAAAAAAATGCACAACTTAAATTAACATGCTTTATTTTTGGCATATTAGTGAATTGCAAGTTTAGCCTCCTTTGTCAGAAAGCAAATCTTGGCTGCATTAGGTTATATTGTATTAATTCATTTGTCCAGGTTCTGGAACTAAAATGACAAAGTCCGTGAAGCACATTTAACATAAAGCACTTATCGCTTGCTCGCAGCCTTTGGGCATGATACATCTTTTGTTGTGTGTAGGAAAATATAAAACTACAGAAATAATTGCTTTAGAGGATGCTAATCGAGAGATTGAAATATTTTGCATGCTTACGTCAGAGAGAGCGTTAGAACAAAGACTACAACTGGGATCAGTTTGGTTCTTCAGAAGTCACCAGCTGACCCACTTTGCCCTGCTGAATTCAAGAAAGGCATGAGCTTTCTTTTAAATCTTTTATTGAATTTTCTTGCCCTTATTTTTAACCTCATCTACTACCACATTTAGAAACAAGCACTCATGGAAAAAATAAATAAATAAATAAACCAAAAAATAAATACTGGCTGAAGTGTCAGTAGCTGGTAAATTCAACAGCATTTCAAAGCATTTGGCCAGAGCACTGTCAAAGCCGGGGAACACACACGGCGGGTTGCTTTGCTAAAGGTAGGTGTCATTGGGGAGAAGGAAGGTAGCCTATCACCTGTGCTTTAGCAACATGTCTAAAGACTGCTTCATGTCCTAATTTCAGCTGCTCACAAGACTCGGAGGAGCTCACATCAAAAGCGCAGCTCACAGGAGAGGGGTCGGAGGCCGCTGGAAGGGCGAGCCGCACACACGGCGCTTTGCGCTGCCCGCGGCGCAGGGGCCGGCGGGGCCACACGCTGCCAACCCAGCCCGGCCCGGCGGCACCGACCCGCCCTCCCGGCTGCTGCCCGTGCCGCGCTAGCGAGCCACGAACGGAGCGCAGCAGCTTTGGGGACGGGCAGCTGCCGGAGACGCGAGTTTTGCCTACCGCACAGTTGCTAGAGGACAGAGACACAGAGTAAGCAGGAGATGCGTACTTAGCTATAGAAGATCAACACCTCGTATTTCAATTAAGCAGACAGCACGATTAATTTCCCATACGTTTTGCTAGCTATTATGTGACTTGACACTGACTTAATATGAACATTTACCTTCTCAGCTACCTTAGAGTACACCACGAATGCTGAAGCTCGGGGGCTAAGGCTACGAAAACAAGGTCACTAGATTAGGCTCCTTTTCTCACGAAAAATAATTCCTCTCTTTAGATACCCTATATACAACCGTAATTCTCTCCGTCGTTACGGAAGATACTGGCGGTACCGGCGGTGGGCCGCCACCCGACGCCTCGGCACTGCCCGCCTCCCGGCCGATGCTGGCGGGGCTTCTCGCCTGTTGCCGCCGTCCCCCTGCCGCCCCGGTGGCTGTGGAGCTGCGGCAGTGCGGCCCCTGGCCCAACGCGCCGCCGTGCCGGCCGGGCGCGCGTCGCTGCACCGGCCGGGAGTCGCCGGGCGGCCCCTCCGACATCGCAGCCGTGAGAGCCGCGACTTTCCATAGGAATTGCAGCGTGGCCAGGGCTCGCTCGGCTAGCCCGGGCTCTCGGAGCAGTCCCACCGGGGCGGCCGCGGGCCTAGCAGCCCGGCCGGACGGGCACCTGGAGCAGCAGGACCTGCCTGCTCTCCGGCGGGTGGCACTTGCTGGCGTGCCGCGCCAGCCCGGGCGCGCTGAAGAAGGTGGCGGGGCAGTGTTTGCAGGGGAAGCCCTGCCGCTCGCCGCCCGCCGCGCCGCTCTCGGGGACCCCGGCGGGAGGCGGCGGCGGCAGCAGCAGCTCCTCCCGCACGGCGTGCCACAGCCGGTGCTTGTCCCTGATGTCCGCCGAGGGGAAGCGAGCGCCGCAGAGGTGGCAGGCGAAGGTGAGGGGCCCGCGCTCCGGCGGGCCGAAGGCGGCGGACCGCGCTGCCCCGTGGGTGCCCAGGTGCTTGCGGAGGTAAGCCTGCCGCCGGAACCGCTTCTGGCAGCAGGGGCAGGCGAACGCCTCCCCGCCGGGGCCGCCGCCCGCACCGGGAGCGCCGCCGTGAGCGGGGCCGGGGCCGGAGCCGGGGGCGGCCGGGGCGCTGTCCGCGCCGCCGCGGTGCTGACGGGTTCCCGGCGGTGGCTGAGGCGCGGCGGGGCCGCGGGGCCGCCGCTCGGGGCTGTTCTCCTTGCCCGGCGGGGCGGAGGCGGCGCCTTCGGCGCTCGGGCCGGGACGCGGCTTGTGCCAGCGGCGGTGCGAGGCCAGGTTGGCGGGACAACTGAAGATCTTGTGGCACTCGGGGCAGCGGTACTCGACGCGCACGATGCGGGAGCAGCGGTGCTGGGCCAGCGCCAGCGGGTCCGCGTACTGCTCTTTGCACAGCTGGCAGATGAACTCGCCCAGCGGCGTGCGCCCCGCCGGCGGCCCCGGCCGGCCCTCGGGCCCCTCCTCTTTGATGCGCAGCCCCAGCACGGGCGAGGTGGTCACCTCGTCGGCGAAGCTCAGCTTCCGCGTGGCCTTGCCCTTCTTGGCCGGCGCCTTGGCCCGGGACGGCCGCTTCAGCGCGGGCACCGACGGCAGCGGCGGGGCGGGCAGCGGCGTGCGCGGCTGCAGCAGCAGCTTCTCGGCGGGCGGGAAGGAGGCGGCCAGGGGGAAGGACTCGGCGGAGGCGGGGGAGCTGAGGCACCGCTCGAAGAGAGCCGCCCGCGGCCCCGCCGCGCTGCACGGCCCCGGGGCCCCCCAGGCGGCCGGAGCCTCCGGCGGGGTGAGCCCGGGGCCGCCGCAGCCGCCGCCGGGGGGCCACGTCGCGGGGCAAGCGGCGACGGCTCCCTCCTCCTCCTCGCCCTTCTCCTCCTCCGCTCCCTGTCTAGCGGCGGGGCCGTTCTCGCCGGCGGGCGGCGGGGCCGGCGGCGTGGGCGGAGGGTCCCGGTCAGGGTCCCGCTCCCGCGGGCGCGCCCGGTAGGAGCCGCCGGGTCTCCGGCTGCGCTTGACGAGGAAGCCGCGCGGCATGGCGGGGCGGTGCGGGGCAGCGGGAACGCGGCACGGCCCGCAGCCCGCCCGGCCTTTATACCCCCGGCGCCCGCTCCCGCCCGGGCGTCATCCTCCCTCCGGCGGCGGCGGCCAATGAGGAGTTGGGGCCGGCGCTGGCGGCGGGGCCGGAGCGGGCCGGGGCTGCCGCCGCCGGGCGGGCGCGCTCGGGCCGCGGGGACGGGCGGGTGCCTCGGGGAGCGCAGCCCGCACCCCGCGAGACCGAGGGAGGCGAGGGGCCGGAATGGCTCCCCGGTGGGACAGACCCCGAGCTGGGTCACGGGCGCTGCCGCCTCGGCCGAGGGGCTCGAGCAGGAGCGTCTGTGGTGGGTGTTCGTGCGGTGCCTCCATCGCTGCCGAGGCCGCACGGACCGCCCCGCGCATCCTTCCGCTGAAGCGAGCCCGAGCTGGGAACTGGCTCCGTCCTTCTGCACAGCCACATCAGGAGTTTTCCCAGAAGTAGCCAGAAAGCTCCGGCATTGCGGTGAGCTCCCAATGCAAGAGCAGGGCTGCCGGGATGCCGCCGCCGCGTAAAATGCTAAATCACGGCTCTGCGTGGTGGCCATAACTGGTCCCTTGGCAGCCTCACCCGCGGGCAGCCTCCCGAGCTCAGGGGAGGCGAGGCTGACGTGTGGTACTGTTGTACTGCACTGAGACGCGGTTCTTACACGGTACCGCAAACTGCAAACGCGGCCGAACCTCCCCCCGTCCCGCCCGGTGCAACTCCCGGCCCGTTCTGGGCGCCTGAGCCGGGCGGCAGCTGCTGCGCCCCTGGGGCAAGGCAGGAGCCGTGTTTGCCAAAGCACAATCGCCTTTTAGGGGAACCAAGCGCACTGGCAGCCGGGGCTCAGCAGCCCCCCGGCCCCACCGCGCGGTACCAGCACCTCCTGCTGTCCCCGAGCCTGGCCTTGGGGCAGGACCGGGCTGTCCAGCATCTCCTGCTGTCCCCGAGCCTGGCCTTGGGGCAGGACCGGGCTGTCCCAGCGCAGGCCCGCTGCCCTCAGTACACACGAGATGGCGTGCCATCGGGAATGACCGCGGCTCCCTCCGTGACCAGGCACAGACAGCCCTCGCCAGGGCAGGACTCACTGCTGGAAGCGTCGCCCAGCCGGAGGAAGGAGAGAGCACCAGGAGAAAGGGAGGAACAGCGCCTCTGGTTCGACGGGCTTTCCAGAAGTGGAAGAAAGATGTGAAGCCTTCATGCAAGACCAGAATTCCTCCCACTGCTCAAAACTCTCTCAAACCACTTCTCTGTGTAAGTGCTCCAATTATATTTGCTTAGCAAAGTCTTAATCATGTTTTACATTACTCTCCCATTTACCTCCATTTTCATGGTTGCACTGGATCTCGGATTAGATTATATAGTCCACGGGCTAGAGATCACCCTTTGTTAGTAGGAGCCACTGTAACTGGGACCCACGAGCCAGGCTTTCATGTACTTAAGTCACTCGACTGACTGGCTGCTTGATTTTTACCCAAAATTTTTCTACCCTTGTAGCTGGACTTTCCAGCTACATTTCTTACTGAATAACTGGATCTCTGGTTACAGATCCACTGTTCCTCCAAGCAATATGTAAATAGTTCTTTCAGTTTCCCCTTGTAAACAATATTCCCATTAACATCCCATTCATTTTCTTTTGTCACATTGCAAAAATAGTCTGTGGTAGGAATGTCTAGTTCTGGAATGTCCAGTTCAGTTTCCAATCCTAAGAGGTGAGGAATCCAACACAGGAGTATCTGCAGGTGAAGTCCCCATTGGAAAGCTCATGTATTGGGTGATTACTGAAACTCCAAGTATTTTTCCAGTAAAAGCTGTAGATTGGAGCTGCCTCAGGGAATTTCTCCATCATCTGACATGGCCCAGACATGGTGGGAAGGCTTGGGCAGTAACCTACAGTCACAGATGTGGAGTTGCTGCTCGATCCCCTCAGCTGATGTCCCTCCTATGGTGCTTCTTGGCTCCTCCCTGCAATGTGGTGCCCCCCTGCTCACAGTGCCCTCCAGCACAGCCCTCTTGTAGCTTTCTAAACTTGCCTCCAGTTTATGATCAGTTTTTAAGCTGGGACCCAAAACTGTAGAACCCATCACTGCACCTTGCTCTTGCTGCAGCATGTGCCAATGCTGACAAGTGCACCGGCAAAATTGCCTGGGGATTCGAGCTGCTGCAGCCACCTTGTGCCTTATTTCTCTCAATAAATATGCTGGTTTCCCCAGGCTCTCTCTGCCCCAGTACAAACTCCCAGTGCCCTGGCTTCCACTTGGAAGGGTCACAATTATTCTGTGATTGCAGATTATTTCCCCTCCCACATTTACAAGAGAATGTAACTGTAGTGACTGGCATCACACCCAACTCTCCCAGCTTCTAAGCTTTCCAAACCGTTACATGGGTTTATCTTCTTGCCATCCTCCTTTACTCCTACCAAAAATTTTACAGTTAGAAAATTCAGATAATTAATAATAGTAGTTAATGATGTGGGCACATTTCCAAATCCTGTGTAAATTTGCTGGATTTTTATTTTTTTCACTGTCTTATTACATTTCAGTAGTCCCATCACCTAGCTGAGAGTGCAGCACTACACCTTCCTGAACATGCTACTACAGGGAAACTTTATTTAAGGTCAAAGCTTTTCTAAGCAAGGAGCTGAATAATGTTATTGCTCCTGTCCTTACACTGTGCTCTCTACAGTCTGCTAAAATCAGATTTGCCGTGATTAAACACATTGGCTGCTTACACGAGAGTCATCCTTAAATGATCTGAGATTAACCAAAGGGTTAATCCCACAGTAAATAGGAAATCAAAATTCTAGTGGGAAAATGCAGGAGCTGGTGGGGAGCTGGCAGGGTGAAAACAAGAGGAGCCAGTTCCTAATCTTGCATCCTTTGCTTCCTCAGTCCATTCCCTCCTCCCTGGTTGAGGCTGAATGCTGGCATGCTAGGAAATGGAAACAAGCACTGTTAGTTTGGTACAACACAGCTCTGCCTCCCTTTTTGCCAAAGTTTCTCATTTTGTGTGAGGGGACTTTTAGCCTTGCTCATAACTGTGCTGCTAACGTAAGCCTGAGGGACCCATTCAAGCCTTGCCAAGATTCAGCAACCAGATTCAGTGATGGCTGCGCCAACCTCTTGGGGACCTTCCAAAGCGAGGACAATCTTCAGATTCCTCTAGACACCTTTCCCTGTTGCTGCCTTCTTGTAGGGACATGGTTTAGTGGTGGACTTGTCAGTGCTGGGTTAATGGTTGAACTCTTAAAGGTCTTTTTCAACCTAATCAATTCCATGATTCCATCTGATTGCCCAGGGTGCTCCAGAGCTTGGGCTAGAAGCTCGTCATCCAGATCCTTGTACATCCCAGCAGTCTGGAGACTCTCATCTCTGGCTGTGCCGTACAGATATCACTGCCTTCAGCCCCAGCCATGTCTCCAGCAGCCCCAGGACACCTGGAAACCTGTGCAGACACTGAAGAACAGGTCTACACCTCCATGATCCCCAAATAAAACATTGTCAAGCAAGTGGGCAGCTGCATTTATATTTCTGAACAGTCTTGGGGCATAAACAGCAAGAGGAATGTGTGACAGAAATGCCAGCTGGCAGAGAGAAGGTCTTAAGTGAGGTCTGGTTCCCAGAGAAAACCCTAAAAACTCTTCTGGGGGCTGAGGGGACAGAAATAAAAAGAGAAATTCCTTTTGCCGCTCAGTAAAAGAAAAAATAACCACAACTTTAAAAAAATAAGAGTTAAAAATAAAATAGAGAACAACTATAAGCAAAGGATTAAAGAACATTTCTCTCCTTCATGTTTCCCCTCCCCACCACAAAAAAAAATTGTTGTGGTTGAGTTTTTTACATTACAGGATTTCAAATAAAGTTGACTTTTAAATCTTGCCCTGGCATCTGGTTTGTAATTAATGGAGCAGTAAATAGGAGGGAGACAGAAGCTGCCTCAGAAGCCTGTCTTTGATACATGGCTCTCCAGCAGTAGAGCTGGATGAGCGATATCACCCCCAGGCTCCTGCACTTAAACAAAATCCAGGCTGGTTTTGGTGGCAGCACAAACCATTTCATCTTCCCCCTAGAACAGGGCTGCCAATTATCTTGCTGTGGTTGGGGATTTGATGCTGGTGACAGACATTGAAGGAAATATCTGCATTATGAGGATATGGATTGTCTAATATAACTGACCTTGCTAGTCTCTTAATTGTGTTTTGTTTTACCTGAGGACAATCTGCTTCAAGAGGAAAATGATGCTAACAGCTGCTATGTTTTCTTCATTGATCAAATATTAACGAAATCTTTCTGTCAGGGAAGGCAGAAAACACTGCTCTGTGAAGTGTTCTCCGACTTGGGTTAGAGGGATTTGAAGGGTTTTGAAGACACTATGAAAACATTTAACCTTCCTCTTCTCCCACAAATGAAGTGATGCTGGGAACTGGTCCCATCCCGTCACCCATCACTGAGGTGATGCTGGGAGGACAGTGGGGCCATGGCTCCTGTCCCTGCTCCACAAGGGAGCAGCTGCACGAGGGCCAAAGGAGCATTTTGGTTCTTCCCCACCTCGATCTGCATCAGCCCATTGCAGGGAAACCAGGGCCTCTCCAGGGAGCAGACTGATGTTCCCAAACTTATAAAAGTTATAGGAGTCTCGATGGGGCCACTGTGACTTTCATGATAGATTTCAGCTGGATTTCAGCTCATACCCCACAGGCTGGAGCCCTTTGCCATTGGCCAGATTTGCCTGCTGGAGTCATTTATTGATCTCACCATGCCATAAATGGGAAGATTTGGCTTCCTTTGGCATGAGATTCTCAGCAGTCTGTTCCCTACAAGCATCACTATATGTTGCAGCTCACTGAAAAAGAGATCTCCTAGTACAGAGGGCCATGGTTATCAGTTATGTGGATATCAGCAGTGGCTTTCAGGGAGGCTGAGTCCCAGCTGGGCTCAGTGCAGGTCTGTGTGCAGACACGTGGGTGGTTCTGTGTGCAGAGAGAGCAACAACTGAAGGGACCAAAGACAAGGCAGCAGGAGAGTGGGGAAAATGAAGTGTCTGAAACTCCTGTGCCTGCCTCCAGTAAAGGGAAACTCCACACCTGCCTCCAGTAAAGTTTAGGCAGGACAGAGAAACATGCTTGTTGTCTAATTTCCCAAAAGGACTCAACCTCTGCTTTCAGAGAGCAGAGATCAGGAGCAGATGAATCACAGCCACAAATACTTGATTCTGTTATGGTCACACTTCATCCTGCTCTTGTGCTGGCACTGGAGCCTATTCAGTTCTGCAGGGATGTGGTGCAGGGACCTGAGCCCACAGGGAAATATCTACATTTTTTTCTTTCCCCCCCAGTCCCAATAATTCTTTCATGCCCCTGTTCTAAGGCCACCTCATTCAACAGAGCTCCTCTGACTCTGAGGTGCAACAGGCAACTCCCCAGGGCTGTTGCCCAAGACCTTTCTGCCACCCCTAGTCCATGGTACCTTCTCTATTTCTCCCTCCATGTTCTTCAGGTCACACCAAGTTCCCAGGTCCTTTTCCTGCCAGAACTGGATGCACTTCCTGACAGAAGTATGCTACTGTGTCTTTGCCTGCCTATGGAAAGGAAGGGCAGGATTTATTGTGGAATAAGGTGCAGGCATGGCCTGGCCACTGCAGAGCAGATGGCAGTGCAGGAGCCACCACTGCCAGCAACAGCTGCAGAGGGGCAGATGGAGCATGGGAGATGCTGATAAGGAAAATCAGTGGCTGGGGGTGGGAGAAGACAAGCAAACCAACATGGAAAACAGGTTAGAAACAGCTGGGCAGAGCAGCACCCAGAAGGAACAAGTTGGAAAATTGCATTACAAGAAAATAAACCTCATCTGAGCTGAGTTCCTGCATCTCAGAAAAGCAACGAGGAGGATGACAGTTCCCAAAAGGAAATAGTGATTCATCACTTTGCAGAAAATGTGACAGAGGAGGGCAAGGAAAGGCGGCACTGAGCCAGAGAGCTGCTGCTCTTTTCTGACAGTGCACCTCCAGCTTCTGAACCCATCCACCTTGTTCTCTCATAGATGAGACCTGGCAAATGCCCATTGTGCTTCAGAGAGGCAAGGTTGCAGTGCCAGCTCCTGGCAGGTGTGTCAGGATGGAGACTCTCCTCTGTTTTTTGTGGGTGAACACCCACGTGCAACCCTGCAGGGCAATGGCAAAATGCTGTGCTGGCTGATGAGGTGGGAAAAGGGAAGATGCAGCAGTGGCTCAGGAGGGTCTAAAAGCAAAGCTTCCCTCCCCTCTCCAGGTGCCAGTGCCTGCACAGAGGGCAAGGGCAGTGGCGGCTGGAGGATGTCTCCAGCAGAACCCAGGGGAAAAGCAGCACCAAGCCAAAATCATCATGCATACATGTCATTTTGAAAAACTTTGAAAAATTTTGAAAAATTTTTTCCACTTCAGACTTAGCCCTCTTTACTTCAAAGCCAGGAGAGGGGACTCAAAACCAGCATCATGCTCCAAGTACTGCTAATATAACGATCCCTAGCAGCTGCCATGCAGGATTCTCCACTTACATTTGTTTTCCTTCTTTTGTGACATTTAATCAGTCTTGCCATCCTAAATATTAATTAAAGTGCTTGGAGACAAGGCCTAAATTTCATTTTGCCTCCCAAGTTCACCAGCTTCATCCTCCTCCTCCTCCTCCTCCAAATATGTTTTGCTATAAATTACTGGCACTGTTTCTGTTGATAGTCAACATAATCAAACATTTGTAAGCATGCTGTCTCTTCAATCTGTTCAGTTGATGCACTTTACCTGATCTTTCATTAAAGTAATCAAAACACTTGCTGTGCCACGTCTAATGAATGTTGCATGTATGATTAAGTACTTTCATTCATATTGCAAGTTTGATTTAATGTAATCTGCCTTTCAGACAGCCATTAGCCTAGCTCCTGCGTGAATTCGATTAATTGGCTGAATTCTTCCAGATGTCCTTTAAGTATTACAGGAATTTCTATGTAAAAACAGCAGGGACCATCTAGCAGAGAAGCAAACAATGATATGTTATATTGCTGCCATGACTTACAAAAAGCTGGATTCATTTTCATTAATAAAACATCTGTACTGCTGCACAGCTATGCATCAAGATGCATTTATTTTATATGTTTATTTCTCTTATGACTATAAATAGACAGTTAAACAGAAGCACGGTATGTTCAGTTGGAAGATACACAAACAGAACTGTATAAGAAATGAAAATCAAAGTAAAGAATGTCAGAGTTAGGACAGGACTTACAAAACAAGCATCATGTGTTGGAACAAACATGGCAGCAGCTCCTGTGGATATCTTAGGATAAAGGCATTTTTCTTAGAGCATGATGAATTTGAAAGCAGTTGGTTCCTGGGTTGAAACCCATGTTTCCTATGTCTGGTTTATATTTATATGGCTTATTGTACCTTTAAGTGGGAGGAAAAAATGCAGTTTGGCATTTTTAAATGGCATGCAGTAAAGAGAAAATGTATCATTAAAATAAACAGTTTTTCTTAATTCTCAAAAATGGAAATTGGTTTGTTGGGTTTTTTTTCCTCCACAAAGTTCCACTTCAGAAAGGAATCACTTTTTCCTAAAAAGCAAAGTCCCCAAAAGCCAGTTTGAGTTTCAGTGCCCACTGGGCCCAGCCTGTGCAGGCCATGGTGCTGTTTCAGGGCATGGGGAGGGTGCCTCCACAACTCAAAGAAGCTGCCTTCACTTTCTGCTGGCCTTGCTAGATCTGATAGCACCTTTTGGAGAAGGATGAGAGATCTCAGAACCTTCCTGCCCCTTTGTCCTCTCTCTCCCTGCCTACCCTCCTCATCCTCAGCAATGAGCCCAGACTGGAGAAGTCTGGCAGGAGTTTGACACCGACCCTGCGGCCCTGAGCTCAGCACAGCTTAATTTTCCTGAACGTGTGGCACTTCTCATCCGAGCCAGAGAGCTGCAGGGCTCTGCCTGTCACCACGCACTGGCTTCACTGGGCTCTGCCGAGTCAGGAATGAGGAAGGGAGAGGAGCAGCCCTGCAGCAGTGTGGCAGCTCTCCCCAGCAGCGCTCCATCCAGTGGCTCTGTCTCACCTGGGAACAGCCGGGTCACGTTCTCTCCTCTCCTCCCTGCTCCCCCCTTCCCAGCTGCTGCACAGCTTTGAGTGTGTTTGATCCTTGAGGTGCCTCTCCCGTGTACAGGCAAATTATTGCCCCTTGCACCTCATCAGGATTTTACTGACTGTCCTGTCAAAATGAGCAGGAGCTTGTACTAGCCAGTTCATTTCCAAGGGCTGTTCTAACAGGTGATGGATTTACAGGAGACATTTGAAATAATATTGATCAGCAAAACTTAAGTGGTACAATGAAAGAGATTGAGACCTGCTAAACTGTATCTCCTTTTCTTTTCCCAGCATTGTCACTTCACTGGCCAACTTGCTTCTTTGTTTACACATTCTCCTCTGCTTTCACCTCTTTCTCTGTTTCTTGCTTTTGTTCCTATGTTGTCTATTATCCTCCTATAAAAAAGGTACCCATAAAAATTCTGTATTTATATTAATTATATTTATTATATTACATTATATTATCAATATTATCTGTATCCTACTATGAAAAACATTTAAGACCAATTTTTTTTCTACCACAGCTGTGCTGTGACACTTTGCTGCAGTTCCCAGATAACCTCATAAAAGCCTGGCCGTGCTGTATCGTGCCTAAATGGGCACACTAACCCATTGCAAGGGTCTCCTGCCCATGGCAGGGAAAGCAGA